TACCACACAGGGTTGAGTGTACGCAGGGCAACCTTGAAACTAATGCCAGATGTGAAAACACCCCTTTTTTGCCTTTTGTTGAAGCAGGGCAGAGAGGTAGGGGAGAGACTGAAGTATCAGGAAGCATTGTGTTTGCTCTATTAAGCAGAAACAGGATTTCAATATAATATCTTGAAAATTAAAATTACAACAAATTTCTTAGAACTTTGGTTTATCAGCATATGAATACGGTCTTACATGAAGCAGGAACAACGGTCTACAGGAGGCATCTCTGCCAACGATGGCCTCTGGGCCAGTTGTACAGCCCTCCAGCTAAGAAGAGTTATGACATTGCTAAAAAATGGTTTTTAAGTTTTTTATAAAGTTGTTTTTTTAAAAGAGGCAAATAGCAAAAAACAAACAAACCCCAAGAGAGAAAGTATCAGGCCCTTCTCAGAAAGTTTGTCAACCCCTGGTTTACAAGAATGATGAACTCCCTTCCGTCCTGCCTCCATCAACCAAAACAAAATCTTAAAAAAAAAAATCCGCAAGACCAACCAGAAGCACAAGTGGAAAGGTGAATTCTCTAACAAAAGACCACCCTCCCCTTCTTGATCTTAGCAACTTTGAGTCTGCATGACAGAAGATTCAAATTTTTGTAATAAATCAAAGTAATTAAATTATAGGGTTGCACTGAAAAATTTAGTGGACCTTGAAAAAGTTAACTTGGCTGGCTGCTCTTCTTGAAGTTAGTTGAAAAATAAACAATTTAATGTAAATAACCATGCATTCACAGAACTTTAAAGGTAGAAAAAACTCTCATTTTACAGATGCCTACAGGAATTTGGGGAATGAAAGGTTCTATGGAAACAAAAAACATGAAGTGTAAAAAAGAGTAATACTCTTAGAATTACTTAGTCGTTTGGATCTCCATGTGAGGTAGGGAGAGCAATATTCCCAGCATAAGCATATACATTATCAAACCAGGACACTCAAAATAATTAAAGAGATGGATATAACTATATAACTTTGAAAACATGTATTTCTTGACTGCATATTTGCTTTATTATATTGATAGACCTATAAGATAGATTTACTCAAATCGTATTTCAGAAATATCTTTCAGATTGCACCACAAGAAATTTGAATACCAGTCAAAAAAGTTTTAAAAATACTGCAATGACCTGAAGGTGTTGTCAAGCCAATGAACTTTTGTAATCCTACTGCGGCATCCAAAAGAAAAGTTCTTTAGATGTTGTATTTGACCGGAGCGTAGAAAGTTATCACAAGACAAAAGTATGCCAGATTGCAGGGTCATTTATTATGCCGGCGACCACAGAGGACTCACATCTCTCCAACCTGTGGTGGCAAAAGGAGGGTGCCACGATTTTTTATACCCGAAAAACCACCTTGGGAGTGGGGTGAGGGGCGGGGATGGGGATGGAAAGGCTTCAGACATTCCGAGGGCTAGTGGATTCTGTAAATTACCTCCTGGGCAGAGATGAGGGTGGGGGTCTCTGGGCATTCCAAGGGCTAGGGGACTTTTGTCATTCTGTTTGTTACTTCAGTGGTTTACAGAAGTCAAGATATACATTTGTTTATACATCGTCTGGGTGGTGATAGAAGTCACAGATTTTAGCAGTTACTGATAAGAAAAGGTAAGCAGCTTTACATAGTTTTGCGGAACAAACTAGCAGTTCTATTTACAGAGGCCAAGGACAGTAGTTATTGTGAGGAGAATGGGGCAGCCACTTCAACTTATTTAAAAAACAGTTTTGCATTTTATAAAACAGTTTTGCTCAGGTTCTGGCTCTAGGCCAGCACAATATCACATAGACAGTGCAGTCAGGCATCATAAAACATTATATATTGCCATTAAGGAATGCAAAACAGTATAGATAGCATACATTTATAGTATAATCAGTAAAAGAGCCACTTATATTCATTGAACTGAGATTTCTTTTATGTTAAACCACATTAATTTGTCTCCATTATAGATTAGTCTGACATCCAAGAAAATAAAATCAAAAGCATATATATATAACATAAAATAAGCTCATAACATAAAATTTACCATCTTAACCATTTTAAAATTAAGGAATATGTTTTAAAGTGTGGTTTACTAGCCAAGAGTAGTGGCTCACACCTGTAATCCCAGCACTTTGGGAGCCCAAGGCAGGCGGATCACAAGGTCAAGGGTTCGAGACCAGCTGACCAACATGGTGAAACTCTGTCTCTACTAAAAATACAAATATTAGCTGGGTGTGGTGGTGTACGCCTGTAATCCCAGCTACTCGGGAGGCTGAGGCAGGAGAATGGCTTGAACCCGGGAGGCAGAAGTTGTAGTCAGCCAAGATTGCACCATTGCACTCCAGCCTGGGTGACAGAGCAGGACCCCATCTCTCAAAAAAAAAAAAAAAAGTGTGGTTTATTGTCTTATAAAGTAGAAATTTACTTAAGGATATATAAGATATAAGTCATATATAGGATATATATAAAATATATGATATAAAAACATAAATAAGGTATATATAACATATGGATATCTATATCCTTAAGTAAATTTCTACTTTATAAGAAAATAAACTACACTTTAAAAAATGTTCCTTAATTTTAAAATGGTTAAGATGGTAAATTTTATGTTATGTAGTTCTTACCGCAACAAAAGTATACAAAGGCAATTTTAATATAAAAAGAGGATAAATAAAATAGGATATAATTAAATTCTCATTTAAAAAGTAGTTATTAATAATTTCGGGCTGTTTTGTTTCTTCTGAAGTATATTTTGCGTAAAAAGTAAAGATACATATTTCTCTCTGTGAAATGAGGGAAGGGTATACCTAGGGAACTATAAGGCATAGTTACGTGAAAAGTAGGAATTGTACCAAGAACAGGGAAACTGATTAATCTTTATGATGACATAACCAGGAAAAAAGATAATGCATTACAAGAAGATGTATTAATCGAATGTCATCCAAAAAGAAAAAAGTTCAAAGATAAAAGTATAATGCCATGTTCCCAAGTTGATGTGACAGAATGGCAGGGCACCCACTGACAAACTACATGAATTTCAAGATGACCAGTTTCAGGGTGTCTACACTCCAGTGATGCCCCAGATCATTCAATTCCTGTAAGTGTTGAAAATTAATTACTTTTTAAAAAGAGGGCTAGATGCAATGTGGTTTCCTGAATTGAATCCTAGAACAATGAAAGAATATTAGTGGAAAAGTGGTGAAATCTGAATATTGTGTACGGTTTAATTAACAGTGATTGTACCAATGTTAATTTCTTAGCTTTGACAAATACACCTTGCAATATAAAATGTTAACAGTAAGGGAAGCTGGGCAAAGGGTAGACAGGAACTTTCCTCACCACCTTTGCAAATTTTCTGTCAATCTAAAGTTATTTCCAAATTAAAAGTTTATTAAAAAGTGGGGAGAGAATTAAGTATCAACCTATGCACACAGAAACAGAACACTTGGCTGTAGTGATGTTCTGATAACAGCAACAGAGGTGAATACAGCAAGTGTCATTTCAAAAATAACCCAGGGAGAAGGAAGGAAGTAGTGACTGGGAGAGTGACTGAGTGGGCTTTTGTGTGCTACAATCTTCTATTTCTTGACTTGGATTGGTGGTTGCGCATATGAATTCATTTTAATTCACTGAACTGTACTTTTTGGTACATTACCCTTCAATTAAAAAAAAATTAAAACATGCCCCTATTATAGATGAAGTTTAGAATTAAGAGAAGATATAGAAATGAGGTATATACATAGGGAAGAAAAAAAACCTATGCAGGGACAGATGTAACAGTTATTAAATCCTGAGTAAAATTTTGGAAAGGATCTTGGAAATTACCAATTCCAGAAGTGGTCAGATTCTTTTACGAAAGTAGATCTGGAGATACTTACGCACTGCAAGTAGGCAGAGGCCAGACTTTAGTATTTTAGCAAAATTCATCGGATGATTCTGATGCACACCTGGATTACAAAACACTGAACTACCCCAAGAAGGTTATGTGACCTTTCAGAGCTAGAATGTTCCAGAAGTGGCACAAGAACTCTATTACCAGACTCCTGGCCTTCTACTCTACCTACAGTTCAAAACCCTCAGCCAGGATTCCTGAGATATTATACCACTAGAGAGAAATATCTGTAAGTTCTATTCATTTTAATACGTTTATCACAAAGATTTTTTTTTTCTATCACAGTGGCTTTTTTACCCTATAAGGAAGACTCTTTTTTTCCAACATATTTTTGATTTTACATTTCCAGGATAGCATTAATACATTTGTCATTTATTAAATAATGGCAAACCATAGCATCATAAAGTATTGAGACTGAAGGGCTCCTAACCTACCCATTCATTTTAAAGATGAAGAGACAAATGCCAGAGATAGTAGTAACTTGTCAGGAGTTTCCAGATTTCAATTCTCCTTTTTTTAGGTTAATAAGTTAGACTAGATATCTTCCCCATGGTTACTGTCTTGACGAGATGAACTAATATGCAATACATGGTATCTTACGTTCTTTCATGTATAATTCAGTTTGTTATGATTTCTATGAATGTTTCTGTTTGAAACAGTAATATTTATGTTATATATGTACGTATGTTATAAATACATATTCTGATAGAGGCATACAATATATAATAATCACATTAGGTTAAATGAGATATCCATCACCTCTAGAATTTATTTTTTTATTACAATCAATTCAATTCTACAGTCTTAGTTATTTTAAAATGTATAATTAAATTGTTATTGACTACAGGATCATTTTGGTTATAATTAAAATTATATAGAATATAAATGAAATTTACACATATCTGAGTCCTGAATACTTTTTTAAATTTCTTACATATTTTTCTTTGAATATGTGGTGAAAGAAAATTATGGATTGTGTTTGTTTGAGTATGAGTTTGTAAGTATTTTCAGAATAAAAAATAAATATTGAAACAAAAAAATTGTTGCTGAGCAACAGTGTGATGGCAAGGGAACAGAAGACAACAAAAAAACCTGATTGAACACTTAAATCAAGGTGCTTCTTTTATATGTGAGGATAAATCATAGTGAGTTAAGGGAAATTTAAGAATATTTTTTAAGAAATAACAATTTTACGTAGGCAATTGTGAGGAAAATAACAATCATACAAGCCAAGGCCACGTGATTCTTCCACAAGCCCCAGGGTGAGAGATCGATGCCCTGGTTTGTCAAATATTCTTCGCCAGTACATCTGAAATTCAACAGAAAAAGAATATAACTTCTAGCACCAGTCAGATTTTACTCAGTATATCCACTGTTCCTTAAAGGAGCCTAAAAGTTAACCATGCCTTTAATAATTATCCCTTCAGATGTCATAGCTAACAGTCATTGTGCGCTTACAATTTTGCCAAACACTAACAGGCAACATGAACTTAACTTAGTTAATTCCTAAAACGGTCCAATGTGACAGACGTTGTACACACTTAAAAGATGAGGGGTCTAAGGTTTAAGGAACTTGACCAGGTTTACAGAGTCATACTTTGAATCACCAAGTTTTTAGCCTACTCAAATTCACTGGTTTCCAAATCTGTAATGCTGCTCTCTCCAAAGGGTAGAAAGATTTATCAAATAATATTTCCCTTGTCCCTGATAGAGAAAACATCAGCTTAAACAGATGACACTTCTGACCCTCACTAAGATGATCAAAGCTCTTACAGTACTCCTTACCCTTACAAACAGCCATAAAAAACAACACAGGCTAAGAATTCCAAAACCAGGAAAAAAGGTATGCAAGGACTTCCTGCACAAGTCACGTTCTGTCAGTTCATACATCAACACTGTGATGAGCTACAAGATATTCCCAGCAGACTCCGCTATTAGGTTGAAGCCGTAAGTGGCAGCTAGAGTAGAGTAGAGCAGGGTGAACTCCTGTCTGCAGGTTAGGAAAGCACCTGGTACTAAAAATACCTTGGACAGCCACAATTACTGCTTGATACCATTTTTGTGCAACTCTTGGGAATTCAGCAATTCCAAAAACATACATAGCCTCTCTTTTACTATACAAGTAGCTTCTTCCTTTGTCTTTTGAGGATGAAGCCTCATCTTCCATTACCATGAAGCCCATGGTGGCTCCTACTTATCTGGTCCCACTTTTCTCATCTATTTCATCCTGACCACCCCAATCAAGCCAAAAGATAGGGGCAGAATAAAGAAAACCTCTCTGTATAGAGGATTTCCTATGAATAATTCAAAAGAATAATTTGTTCTATTGTTAAGAATTATTTAAATTCTACTTGAACGTTCGGGAGATTTAAGATAATATCATTCTCTTTTCTCTCATTAATTTATGTATCAAAATCAAACCATTAGCAATCACAGAAAAGGAAAGTGTTACTAAATTCTTAAAACAATATTATCTAGTGTTATTAGACTGTTTTAACGTTACGTAAAAACAGCGTTTCCTTCTCAACTTACTCAAGTGTTTCTTATTTTTTTAGGGGCTAAATCATTTGATAGGGAGTATTCCGAGTTAATTTAACAACAACAACAACAACAACAACACATGACTAAGCAGCCTTTGATTTCATGATGTCTTCAAAATGCATGAAACAGTGCCAGGATCTTGGCAGGGAAATGTTCACTTTCTTTGTGCTATTGCTGCCTATTTCATTCTTACCATTGTCCATGGGTTGGGCTTAGAGGTATCCATGAGTTCATGGACCCATAGATTTCATATAATCCGTACAGTGCAGGGACCGTAAGCCCTTGATAAAATATTGAAGCACCTCACTTCAATCTCAAATGCTCTGAAACCTAAGTACTCAAACCCATAATCGAAACATCTAAAGGGTCTTTTAAAAGACCCAAAACAAACAAGAAACAAACATAAGAAACGTTGCTGCATGTTAAAGACAAGTCTTAGACTGCAGCCGAATACTAAGGATTTGTGCCACATGTTCTTGTGCATTTGTGCACAACTCACTTTATGGATGAGAAAACGTAGGCTCGGAAAAGTTCAGCACCCCGGAAGGACTCACACAGATCTAAGCCCAGAACAGTGTGGCCTTTCTATATCACACCATAATAGTAAGCAAACCCATATGACACTGAACACAAACTTACATTGCATATTCACAAGTACTGTTCGATGTTGTGTTGAGTCCTGGGCAGAAGTTTTGTCCCAAAAATTCATTATGCTGTAAAGCCTATAACACAAGTGGGAGCCAGGCAAGGTAAACAGTTTTAAATGTCAAGAAGTTTCCAAAGAGTTATCACAATCATGCCCTCTGAGTTTAATCTTTATCGTTATTTCAAAAAACATATTCACAGTCTTTGTCTCACCAAAGCAACTAAAGTTATTTTCCCTGGCCATCAGGAAGCCTAGGGTTGGGATTTTGGCTTCCAATACAAAAGAAGTAAAGTATTTGGCCAAAGAGGGAGACCTCTAGCTATATTACACCATAGCTCCTTCCTTCTTCTCTCCCAATTTTATAACCCCATAAACACTCTAATTAAAATGATACCGTGTGTAGTGCTCCCCTCCCTGTGTCCATGTGTTCTCATTGTTCAACACCTGCCTATGAGTGAGAATAGCAAGGGGATAGATGCCAGATGTAGGTGATGGGGAGGAAGGCAGCAAATCACACTGCCACGTGTGTACCTATGCAACAATCTTGCATGTTCTTCACATGTACCCCAAAACCTAAAATGCAATAAAATAAACAAATGGGGGAAAAAAATGATACCGTGGTGCTCATTGAGTATTGTTAATTTACAGTAACAGCTTTTTGTTCTTATTGTTTTCATTAAAAACAGTTGTAATTCTTGGAAGCTAGAAGCTTGGTTAAACAGATAGTTTACTTTGGAGTTAATGAGCTTGCAAAAGCCAATACGACAATGCTTATTATATGGTCTTTGTTCTTCTAATTTTCCTTTCATTATAAACTTCTCCCATCCTCTCATTTATTTCCTTATTGAACTGAAATGCAAAAATATATTTTTCACCAAATAGCTTATCTTTCTCCTTTACTAGGAGGTATCTCCCTACTCTTCAGCCCTTTAAGGGATGACTGAGGAAAGTAGCAAATGACTCCCTGGCCTTGTGTTAACCAAGGCCAGCAAGAAATTCTCATTCCTTGCTTCTAAAAGGGAGTTTCTGGATGGGAGACTTTCATAGCTCATGGCCAAAAATGGGGAAGCTTTATTTCCATTGTTCCTAGCTTGGGAACGCAGTCACAAAGACAGACAAGGAAGACTTACTGTAAATCCATATCGAGGAATGCTGAAGTACTGAAGCCATGAGAGCCAAGATGCAATGGTTGTGAGATTTACCAACAAACCTGAAAAAATCTACAAAAAGCAAGTTCTATGAGTCAGGACTGCTTGAGTAATTTCATGCAGAATTATAGAGAATACTCTCTTCAAGTCCCTACCACTTTCTAAGTATTTCTTTTAAAACCAACTCTTTCTTGAAGTTCATTCCACTCACTTTAAACACTCACTAAAAATTATTCTCCTCTGTGTGTACACATCTCTATATAGCTAAGGTTGTTTATGGTTTTAAAGGAGGAACAAAATATCGAATATATATTATATATTCCATTTAATCGGAAGATCCTCAATTGTCAAGACGATGTACTCAACTTTCTTTGTAGCCATACACGATGGAAGGTCAAGAAGCACTGACTATTCTAATGACACAACCACTATGTGTGCTCACCAATACACCTGGCTTTGGAAAAATCTATACCAGGTCAGTCCTGAGCATCATATGCCCTCCGTACTTCAAACTATAACATTTGCTATTTACAAAGTTTTGCAGTCTATATCCACGTGACTTTTACAAGGATGTGAGGTTCAGAAAGCAGGCTTAAGATAACCCAAAGCCTAGAACTGATACAGAGCATAATGTGGCAAGAGGTAGAATACAAACAGGATCAATGCTATCATTTAAAGCTGCCAAACAGCAATAGCGCAATGGAGATGCCAGGAAGACCTGTTGCAAATTGACAAGAGAACTAATTGCAGCCACCTCAAGCATACTGGTATATGCGTAACAGTGATGATGTCACTAGGCTGACTATATATATTCAGACTTGACCTGACCCAGGGCTTAGTATATAACACATCTCTGAGTAAAATACGGTCTTATGACTATTTTTTAAACTTCTGTGTAGAAATCTTTAAACAATAAATCAAACAAACAGTTGTATTTGTTGGGTGATAGTATGGGAAAAATAAACAAGTCTTATCACTTCCTCATTAACGTTTACATTGGTAGTTTTCATATCCAGAAATGGAAGAATTAAACTCTGGCAAGAGTTCGTGCTAATTATTTTCATTTAAAGACATTTACACCTACTCTAGCAGATGGGACAAGTTTCTGTGTATTTGATGCTGAAGGGGAAAAAATGTAACTGGTTTCATTCACCTGTTGATTTACCTATGTGCAAAATTTAGGGGCATGTAAGATTAGGATTAAGTAACCATTAAAAAAAAAAGATAAGCAGAAACATATTGAATGTCAGGAACGAAACCCAGAAAGGAGGTACTTAGTAGTGTGGGAACTCTGGAATTTTTCAATATTTTTAAAACATTCCTTTTCCAAATACAAGAGAGAGCCAAGATACGCTACTCATACCATACACGGTTCTGATTCTTATAAGGCTTAATGTGTGCCTTGGAGAACAGTATTATAAACCCAACCAGACCATCTCTGCTGGTGGGTAAACAAGCTACCAGTTCAATGCTGTATGTGGAAACTTTAAAACAGAAATCAAAAATGTACAAAAATAATAAGCCAGCAGTTCTCTATCACCAGAATGAAAGTCAGGCAAGTAATCTGTCATTCTCATGGCAATCTGCCAGTCAAATGTTTTCTGGTTTTTGAAATTCCAATTTATTAAGGTTTCATAATATGTCACCAAGAAATACCTTTTAAAAGCTCATTAGTAACAACATATTAACTAAAATTATTGGAACTACATTAGAACAGTAACAAAAAAGGTTGGATAAGGGCAGAAGAAAGTTCAAATATTCTCTAACATAAACTATTTCAGTAGGTGGCCTTAAAGCAGAGTTCCATTTACAGAATCCTTAAAATAGGTTTTATATGACAAGTGAATGTGCAGGAGGAAATAAAGGAAAAAACAATTCCTTCTTAGAGAAACACGGTTCAGACTCACCATCATAAACACAAAACAGATGGTCATGAGAAGTGTTGCTATGGAAACCACACTCTGACCTGCTGCTATGGCCAGCGCCATGGAACTGGCCGAATAAGCCACCATCATAAGGGTAAATATCATGATGAAGAAGGCATCTGCCTTTGGTTTCAATCCTTAGAAAGAAAAGAAGAAGTTAACCCAACTTTCTAGGTCCCCGTATGTTTGGGATTGCTTATTGTGCAAATTTAACACTATAATATTTTGAGAAATTAATATTAGAATGAAAAAAAGTCATCCACTCTCTAACCACCCTGGGTCTCCAATGTTGTTTTCTTCTATGTAACTGCATAAAGTTCTCATAGTTTCCCTTTTTATACCAACTACATAAGCACTGGTGCTTATAACACCTATGTGCCATTAAGTATAATTATGAACAATTTCTGAGTTCCTGCGATGAAGAGCTACAGGCAGTACAACTGGCCAAAATTTAACTGCCTTCTCTTTTCACAGGAAACTCATCAATCTCACATTCATTTGCCCGTTCATCCACACAGTACTCATTGTGTGCTGTAACTGCGTGAGTCAAGAGACTAGGATGATCGGGATGGCATGACCTCGCCGTGGTTATAATATCTAGGGGAAGGAGAGGGAGCCTTCAAAACCCAGCCTCCCTAGACAGATCACCACATCACTCAGGATTGAAACAGGACTAAATTAAGTTTCATAAACTGCTTTCTGAATTGTAGTGAGCTAGTGCTACAGGTAATAAAATCTGAAGATTTGAAACAGCCACAAGAACACTTATCAGGAGTCTGGAGATCCAGGCCCTATCCCTGATTGTTTAGAACACACTTATTATTTGTCAAATGGAAGGTTTAAGTTCAATTGGTAGTTCTTATCTTGTAGTACTGTCAAAAATAGATTATTTCTGGGGGTTGTGTGTGCGTATGTGTATCAGTGAAATATATGGAAATCTGATGCAAGGAGCGTGGACTGAAGCCTGTGCATAGTGCACAAATGAATCTCATCTCTCAAACAAGTATTTTTATTAAATTAATAAGCCCCAAAAGTCACTGTCTTTCTCTCATTAAAGAGGCAGCGATGGGGAATATATATTAAATAAATTCATATATATATTTAATCACTCTATCTATCTCTAAGAGATTAAATATATATATTTAATCATTCTATACATCTCTAAGTATGTGTGTATGTGTATATATAATATGTAAATATAGATGGTATATATAAATATACATATATAGAGAGAGAGGGACAGAGACAGAGGGAGAGAGATAGAAAATGTAGATAGGCAATACATAACAGCTTCTCCATCATAGTCTCAAAGTTTTATAATTTCTTTCCATGTTTGTGTATAACATAAGTATCTCTCAGTATAGTTTTATAAGTAGTTTTAAAAGTTTAGGCTGGGCACATCAGCTCATTCCTGTAATCCCAGCACTTTGGGAGGCTGAGGTGGGAGGACTACTTGAGGCCGGGAGTATAAGACCAGCCTGGGCAACACAGTGAGACCCCATCTATACCAAAAACTCCATCTTTATGTGTGCCTGTAGTCCTAGCTACTCAGAGGCTGAGGTAGGAGGATCTCTGGAGCCCAGGTGGTTGAGGCTATAGTGAGACATGATCACCCTGCACTCCAGCCTGGGTGACAGAGCAAGACCCTGTCTCAAAAAAACAAAACAAAGCAAACTAACAAAAAAGTTCAATTGAGAAACAGTCTTGACAAAAATAGCTGAGAGCAAACAGCTATTTCAGAGAGGGCAAATAGACAGACAGATGCTTCCTTGTCTCATGGCCTGGCTTATAGTTTTGAAAACCAAAAACGTGCTTGCAAGGTGCAATTGACTTCACCTCATAGGCAAGATTAAAGACTAAAGACATGTCCTTTTTTGTCTTGTTACTTACCTAACATGAAGTACACTATACAGGTAAATATAATACTTGGTAACATCCTCATGGGTATTAAATCGGATAACAGTTTTCCAAAGAAATAAGATGACACTCTGTAGTATCCACTGATATATTCATGTCTATAGAACAAAAATACATATCATACATCCCAGATTAGTTTAAGTAGACACAGGGCAGGCTAGACTGCCTGCTATAGACTTCTGCTGATAGCAAGGGTCAAACAAGCCAGCTTCCCACATCCTCAGGGCTAGACCCACCATGCATGCCCATGAACACTTCGGGTGTCAGCCTCGCTGGGACAGCATCCCATGAAGCTCTGTGCACAGCCCCTCTTCTCATGAGACAACACCCTCCTATTGTTGCTCTCTCTAGCTCCTGAACACTCAGTCCAGGGAAACAGATTTCACATACCCTCCCTCTCTTCAAAGAATGCTTCTTTTCCTTCTTTGACACCTGCTTTCCTTGAAGAACAGTAGCTGATTTTGGTAGGAAAAGAGGCTTTTATTTTCCCTATTTCTGATTAGGAAGGCGGCTTGTTATTCTCCAAGTCCCACAGTGAGGCTTCAGATCACTAAACTCTTCTTACTTCTTCCACTCTCAAGTTAAAAAAAAGAAAAAGGCTACTTTTTTCAATGACCATGTCTTCCAGCCATACATCCCTGTCAACTCTCAAACTGTAATCTTTCCTCTTCCTGACATCTTTCTCCCACAATTCCAAACCCTTCCACCTTCTACATTCTTTCCCTTTCTAATAATTCCTATACATGACGTGTAAATTTGGGCAAATTGGATAGATCCTTGAAAAATACCCAGCCTGGGAAACATAGAGAGACCTTGTCTCTACAAACATTAAAAAAATAAAATAAAATAGCCAAGTGGTTGGGTGCAGTGGCTCACACCTCTAATCCCAGCACTTTGGGAGGCCAAGCGTGGGCAGATCACCTGAAGTCAGGAGTTTGAGACCAGCCTGGCCAACATGGCGAAAACCCATCTCTACCAAATATACAAAAAATTAGCTGGCTGTGGTGGCAGGCACCTATAATCCTAGCTACTTGGGAGGCTGAGGCAAGAGAATTGCTTGAACCCAGGAGACGGAGGAGGTTACAGTGAGCTGGGATTGCACCATTGCACTCCAGCCTGGCAACAGAGCGAGGCTGTTTCAACAAAAATAAATAAATAAAGGAGGCCAGGCATGCTAGTTACTTAGAAGGCTGAGGTGGGAAGACTGCATCAGCCCTGCAGGTCAAAGCTTCAATGAGCCATGATCATGTCTCTGCACTCCAGCCTGGGCAACAAAACAAAACCCTGTCTCAAAAAAAAAAAAAAGAAAGAAAGAAAAGAAAAGAAAAAGGGAAATAGAAGAAATTAAGCCAGGCTGCTCTTTACTGTAAGAATGCCTTCCGGCTTGTGCCACTCCCCTGGTCCACTGAGGGCTAAGCATGGTCACATTCTTTGTCAATTTAATCTCCCCACTTCTAAGTTGCTGCTTAATCCCTAGCCCCTCAAACTTTTCTTGTGAAGGTCATCAGCATTTACTAAAAACAAAAGATACTTTTCAGTCCCTTTATTGCTTGCTCTCTGCAGCATTTGGATTTTCTGGCCATACCCAAATCTAGAAAAACTATTTTCTCTGGATACCAGGTCCCAAAGGCTCAGCATTTTCTTCCCCACCTCTGGCTCCTTCTTCTCAGTTAATATTGGTAACCTCTATACCTATTTTCAAGACATCACGTTGTACATGATCAATATGTACAACTTTTATTCATCAATTTAAAAATACATTTTAAAAAGTACTGGTAATCCTTAGGATCCCATCCTTGGCCCCAATTCCAGATGTGATCAGTCTAACCAATAGCCCCTGCTGCTGGACAGCCCTGTTCCCAGAGCAAAGACCTACTCACATGAAGAGCTTCTTCTCTACCACAAATAGTTCCACAGCCGACACGCTGCTGAAACACTGGTTGGTCGTCAGGAAGAAGAGAACCCCGGCTCTGCCACGAAAAGGGAACAAAAGCACCGCAGTCAACTCAGCATTCTTAGATAGATTTTCTACCCACAGAACTCTTTCCACAAATGATGGTATACAGAGTTAGGCAGGAAAAAATGAGAAACTGTTCCGGTTGAAACAGAGGGAGGCATGAACTCCATCAGGCCTCTCCCCTGGGACTACATATTAGAGCTCATTTTGAAATTCACAGTCTTGGATTGTTGTGAACTGAATTGCCTCTCCCCCCACCAAAATTCATATGTTGAAGCCCCACCCCCAAATGTGATGGTATTTGAAGATGGGCCCTTTGGGAGGTAATTAGGTTCAGATGAGGTCACAGGGGTGGGAGGTAGAGAGAGTGCAATGGAATAACGTCCTAATAGGAAGAGAAAGCAGAGCTCTTGCTCTGCCACATAAGGAACAGCAAGAAGGCAAGTCTGCAAGCCAGGAAGAGGCCCTCACCAGAACCCAGCAATGCTGGCATCCTGATCTCAGACTTTCAGACCAGAACTGAGAGAATTCGGTTGTTTAAGCCACTTGGCCTATGGTATTTTGGTATGGCAGCCAGGTCAACACTTCATTTTAACTAACAAAAATGCCAAGTACCATTCCTAATGTACGAACAGAGAGGTGGCAAGCTAAATATGATTTTAAAGTTGAACAAAGAATGTAAGACATGTAGAAGCAAAACGAAAGACAGGGAAGGGACTCTCAATCAACTCCTTACTATATGCATAATCTACATGCACCACACCACCATCAGCAGGACCGTGACATTATCCTCAACATGCTAAGACAGCCAGCCCTCTTTGAGGTGTCCAGAGTGCTCAGAGGAAACCAAGTGTTGCTTACTGATTAAGAAAAATCTAACTTACGTATTGTAATGGAAAGGAATACTATTAATGTGTATTTCTCAGTGAAGTAATCGAGATTTAAAAAGAAAAATGCTAAGTTAATCTACACTTTGATACAAATATGAATATTATGAAAGCATGCCAACATCCCTGAAACACCATAACAAAACGATATAATTGATAGTGAGAGTGTGAGTTGAAACTGAAAACGAGGTGATACATCACTTAAATGGCGTAAAAACAAGAGAACATTTTTTAAAATGTAAACCTGAGAGAACAACAAGATTACATTAAAATAAAGAGTCCATAGATATCTAAAGAACAAAGATCTAAGGGAACAGGCTAGGGTTTTTTTGTTTTATTTTATTTTTAGAGAGAGAGTCACACTCTGTCACCCAGGCTTTAGTGTGATCATAAACTGTGATCATAAACTCATTCACTGCAGCTGAGTTGAATTCCTGGGCTCAAGTGACCCTCCCACCTCAGCCTCCTAAAGGGCTGCAGTTACAAGTGTAAGGTACTGTGCCCAGCCAGAACAGTTTTAAAAGTATATATATAGCAATTGAAATGAATGAAAAATATCCAGGCCTGGTAGACATGCAGTTATCTAACCTTCTGTACACAAATAAACTTTATATCAAGTTAAAAGCTAATTTCGGAACATGGAACATAGCAAAGATTCAGTGCAATTTGCCATCTTCCATCTATCTAACAGTACAGCAATGTTCATAATGATTCTGAAAAAGCAGACAATGAAAAGATTCCTTCTAAATCCTAAGATGATTTATTTTAAATACAGTTTTTTCTTATTAAGGAAGTTAATTCATTCTAATTTTTTCAAGGAGGTAATCCACACCTGTCATGTCTACTTATTGGTCTGAATATGTTTTATTTTGATTTTTTAAAATTATAAATTGGCACATTATAGTTGTATATATTTGTTGGGTACCAAGTGATATGATTTATAAATCAAAGTGTAAAATAATTAAATCAAGCTAATTAACACATCCATTACCTCAAATATTTATTTTTTATGGTAAAAGTATTTTAAATTTTAGCAGTTCTGAAATTTGCGTTATTATTTGCGGTGTTCACCACACTGTACAATGAATCTCCAAAGAAAAATTCTTATTTGTCCTGGGTAATTGAGGTTTCGTACCCTTTGACCATCATCTCTCCATTCCCCACACCCCTCCAGCTCCTGGCAACCACCACTCTACTGTCTCTTTCAGTTCCATTGTTTCAGATTCCACATTAAGCGAGATTATGTAACATTTCTGTGCTTAGCTTTCTGTATTTGGCTTATTTCACTTGGCATAATATTCTCCAATTCCATCCATGTTATTACAAATGACAAAATTTCTTTCAGTTTCCACTGTGTACATACATCACATTTTCTTTAGCAAATCAGACACTTAGGCTGATTCTGTATCTTGACTATTGTGAAAAATGCTGCTATAAATATGAGGGTGCAGAAATTTCTTCAACAAACAGATTTCACATCTTTGGGGTAAATACCTAGAAGTGAGGTTACTGAATCTGAATACTATTTTTAAAGTCTATCTTTTCCCTTTATATACGCTAATTTGTTTAGCTATCACCACAACTTGTAAAGCAGTTATTCCAGAGGTAGCTATTAATTCAAAGATGCTCATAACTCTACATATGATTAAAACCCAGTTTCTCAGTTACACAGGTAAGAGAGTGCTTGCCTCTCTTGGAAAATTCATCCCCAAAGAAGAGAACTAAACCACTGTCCTCTGAGCAGTTTTAAATAATGAAGTACTAATATTCACCCCTGAACAAACCTTTGAGAACCTGCTTCCAGAGATGGCACTGAAACACTTTTTCCTAGTCAATAAATTACAAATCATCCCAGGAGGGATTAAACTATATACACAGGCCAGTTTAACATAGTCCAAATGCTTTTATAAAAAATGATAACAGGGTCTGTGGGGGAAAGGGGAAGTAAGAACATCAGGAAAAATAGTTAATGCATGCTGGGCTAAACACCAAGGTGATAGATTGATAGGTGTAGCAAACCATCACAGCACACTTTTACCTATGTAACAAGCCTGCACATCCTGCAGATGTACCCAACAACTTAAAAAAATGATAGCAAATTTAAGCAAAAATACAAATTATGAGCCCAGGAGTTCGAAGCTGCAGTGAGCTATGATTGCACTATTGCATACCAGCCTGGGCAATAGAGTGAGATTCTGTTTCAAAAACAAACATATTAAATAATATTAATGCCCTATTTCTCCAGAAAACATTGGAAGAAACACTTAAAGCTTTTCTTTATTTCTCTGGATTTTTCTACCAAGAGTTTTAATGGCCAGATTTCCAGTCCTCTTTAAAGTTCCAGTTGAGGACAGATTACTCCGTGTCCTTTCCAAATGCTTCCTGCTGCACAATATAAAAGGCCCATAGCCTCTAGATCCTGTGATATAGTCTGTGCTGGGTTAAGAAATGCCATCTACACGGAAATAATCATCAATTACTAGCAAGTCTGGAAATGATCCAGATACCTCAGCCCTCAGGGAAAGTAAAAACATGAACAATGACATCACTCTGGTAAACTGCCGCTTAATAATAGTCTCCTTGTAGAGTCACACTATCTGATTCCGTACAAAAGAATTTATTTTACTTGAGTGAAGAATTAACTTTTATGCTTATTCTTTCAAAAATAATCAGCCTTTTCCAGACATCAAAATAGACGGAATATAAGCTTCTTCAGCTTTCCTCAGTAGTAAAATGGGGATACCATCCACCCCCTCTAAAGCACTGGGAGGTAACCTGAGACTAGCCCTAGCACAGTGTCTTGCACAAGTGTTCTCCACACATGAAATAACTAGAACTCTGAGGGCTGGACATTCCTGAGTGTTTACGTTCAGCACACAACACAGCCGTTAAAAAGTCTCCTCACAGGCTGGGTGCAGTGGCTCATGCCTGTAATCCCAGCACTTTGGGAGGCCAAAGTGGTCAGATCACTTGAGGTCTGGAATTCAAGACCAGCCTGGCCAACACGGTGAAACTTGGTCTTTACCAAAAAATAAAAAAATTAGCCAGGCATGGTGGTGCATGCCTGTAGTCCCAGCTATTTGGGAGGGAGATATGGGAAAATGGCTTGAACTGGGGAGGTGGAGGCTGCAGTGAGCTAAGATCACACCACCTCACTCCAGCCTGGGTGACAGAGCGAGACCCTGTCTCAAAATAATAATAATAATAATAATAATGATAACAGAAAAGGCTGGCTAGGTGCAGTAGTTCATGCCTATAATTCCAGCACTTTGGGAGACCAAGGCAGAGGATGCTTGAGGCCAAGGGTGTGAGAACAGCCTGGGCAATAAGGCAAGACCTTATCTTTACTCCTTTTTTTTTTTTTTTTTGAAACAGAGTCTTGCTCTGTTGCCCAGGCTGGAGTGCAGTGGTATGATCTCAGCTTACTGCAATCTCTGCCTCCCAGGTTCAAGCAATTTTCTTGCCTCAGCTTCCCAAGTAGCTGGAACTACAGCGCCCACCACCATGCCCAGCTAATTTTTGTATTTTTAGTTTCCCCACATTGGCCAGGCTGGCCTCAAACTCCTGAACTCAGGTGATCTACCCGTCTTGGCCTCCCAGAGTGTTGGGATTACAGGCATGAGCCACCACACCCAGCCAAGATAAGACCCTATCTTAAAAAACAAAATAAAAAGGTAAATTTCATTTTCTCTGTATTTTACCACTCCCTATATACATATGTGTGTGTGTGTGTGTGTGTGTGTGTGTGTGTGTGTGTGTCCAAAACAGACAATTAACTCTTCCATTCAGCTTTCAATTTACTGACTCATCCTACCCTCAATAAAAGTGGGTAGGAATTTAAGATAGTTACTTTACTTATCTTAAATTCAAATTCTTAATGGATTTTCATAAGCTTGAAGAAAGTAATAGCATTTTCTTAAAATCAAGATCCAAATTTACTTACCTATTCTGGATTCCAGTAGAATCATTTTTTAGCCCAAAGTAAATGGCGCCTATAACCAGTCCCAGTATGGCTGTGACAATGATCTTTTCAAAAAGTAAAATGCAAATAAAAAAGAAAAGAGTTTCAATTAGAGGTAAAAACTTATACACACCATTTATTATTATAATATATATGGTTACATAATCAGATCTCTCTATTAACATAAACACTCAATGGCTTGGCCAATGTCCCTGGGAGAAAATAAAACAGTAAACATTATTTAGACTGCTTCCTAAATTAAGTTATCTGTGGTTTGGGGAGAGTGCTAGGACACAAAGCACACGACTGGAAAGCTGGGGGCTTCCTTTCATTGCAACACCCAGCAGCCAGTTCAGGATCTGCCTCAGGTTACTGGGCTCGTAATTACCACACTGCATAGCAGAGCAATGCAAGTACACAGCAAAGCAACGTCCAGGTGACTAAGAGTTTTGACCCTGAACTGAACTCTCGAACTTTGTGCCAATAAATATGCATCATTTTATGTTTCAAGAAATTAAAGTGAAAACAGGATATCTTTCCTCCTAACATTAAAAATAAATAAAAATTTAAAAGCAAACATTTAAAAAATTCTAACAATGGAATTTTGCACAATAAGGAAATAGGGGTGAAATGGAGCCTGCTTATCCAGCCTCTAGGGAGTCCATGCCTGCACTGGAAGAGTGCATTGTCACTGTCACCAAAGCATTCAGCCAGCTTTCTCTGTGCACACTCTGTTTGCTTCCACGACCCATCTCCTGTCGCTGCTTCCTCACCGCTTCAGCCAATGAGGCCTACAGCCAATGCTGCAGACCTAAGCTGCCAATTCTTTGCCATTCTCACCTGTCTTCACCACTCAATCTATGTCTATGGCTCCTAAGGCGCCTGGACAAACAACACTCTTGCTTCTAGGATAAAAGTTTTCCTAAGGACACTTCAATAAGCAAAGGGTTAAGAGTTATGTTATACTTTATTTGAGGAAATCCTACTTATATTTACTCATGAGTTACATATTAAAAAACAAGAAATTTTTTTTCTTTCTGGGCTTGGTGGCTCATGCCTGTAATCCTAGCATTTTGGGAGGCTGAGGAGGTCAGACTGCTTGAGCCCAGGAGTTTGAGACCAACCTGGGCAACACGGTGAGGCTCTGTCTCTACTAAAAAAAAAAAAAAATACACAAAATAAATTAGGTAGGCATGGTGGTATACGCCTTGTAGTCCCAGTTACTCAGGAGGCTGAGGCACAAGAATCGCTTGAACCCTAGAGGTGGGGGTCACAGTGAACTGAGATCGCACTACTCCACTCCAGCCTGGGCAACAGTGCGAGACTCTGTCTCAAAAAATAAATTGATAAATAAATAATTAAAAAATAAGAAATGGTAATCTAAAAAAAAAATCCCACCATATCTTGAAATCATTAAAGTTAAAAGAAAATCTCAATACTGCAACAGTCCAGTGGTATCAAGATTTAAAGTAATGGACACTTTTAGCATGAAGCAAACCAAACTGTGAAAATAGGACCATGATCTGCGATAACTCGTTTGTGAAGAACCTAGTCTGGAAAGAATATTACTTCAATGTTTCTACTTATGTCTTTTAAAATTCACTTAGAAATTCTGGGGGGAAATCCATTATGCTGGCATATTTTCATTAATCTCATAATATACTTTAACAGATTGAGCTTCCAAAATAAGTGCAAATGACTATATCAACATGCATACATGTGTATACAAGAGTCTATATTTTCACATAGTAAAACTTTTAAGAGTATTCAATTCAGTATTTTCTCTTTTTTTTTTTTTGAGACAGAGTCTCGCTCTGTCACCAAGGCTGGAGTGCAATGACGCAATCTCGGCTCACAGCAACCTCCACCTCCCAGGTTCAAGCAATTCTCCTGCCTCAGCCTTCCAAGTGCTGGGATCACAGGCGTGCACCACCATCCCTGGCCAATTTTTGTATTTTTAGTGGAGGCGGGGTTTCATCATGCTGGCCAGGGTGGTCTCGAACTCCTGACCTCAGGTGATCCTCCCACCTTGGCCTTCCAAAGTACTGGGATTACATGAGCCACCATGCCAGGCTCAGGCTTTTCAAACTAGACATTCCACATGCTTTGTCAAGTTTGCTTTCAAACTTGTTATCTTATACTAACACTGAGTATTATGATTAAGATGTTTCCTAAAAATTTCAAAGTTTTAAAAGTGTTTTCAAAGTCAGCTTTCAAACATATTGACAAAATCAATCTTGTAACCTTGGCATGCTTTCATAAGGTGTGTTTGTGTTATTCTCTCTGGCATTAAAGAAAAGAAAACAAACAGGCAAACTTAACAATGCACAATGGAATGCACAGACCCCATCTACTTCCAAGTTGATCTGTTCAGGAAACCCTTGGAACATTAAGTGAACATGAAATCTTCTCACATAGATAATCCATTCATTGCAAGATTTTTCCAAATACAACCTTTGGAAGATGTACTATCAGAGGCCGAGTTTGAATCATGTAAAGAAATAACTAGTTAAAGTCAAAGTACAGCTGTAAAGCAACAGATATAAGATTTATCAGCAGAGAGCCATAAAACATTTTAACACCTCAAATTTCAAGAACTCAGAATTAAAACAACATACAAAATTGCAAACCCTAAGTCAGTAATCATTAAGGTATAGCCCACAGGTCAAATAGGGCCAGCCACCTATCTTTATTCACCCATGAGCTAAGAATGATTTTTTACTTTATTTTTTATTGTTTTTTTTAGAGGCAAGTTCTCACTCTGGCACTCAGACTGGAGTGCAGTGCTATAATCATAGTTCACTGCAGCCTCAAACTTCTAGGTTCAAGCAATCCTCCCAACTCAACCTCCTGAGTGGCTAGTACTATAGACATGCACCACCACACCTAGCTCATTTTATTAATGGTTGAATAAAAAGTCAAGGAGAATGATATTTCTTGCAATATAAAATTTATATGAAGTTCAAATTTCAGTGCCCATGTATAACATTTTATTGGAATGCTGCCATGTTTATTTATTTATGTTATTAGCTACGGCTGCTTTCACACTAAAATGGCAGAGCTGACTACCTGAGACAAAGACACTTGGTCTGCAAAGCCTAAAATATTTACTACCTGGTCCTTTACAAAAAAGAAAAATGTTTGCCTACTCCTGCCCTAAGCTAATATTCCAGTTTTTTTTACAATTCTAAACAAAACTTGTCCTGCTAAGCAGATGCTCAGGGAGATACAAGGTTCTATTCTTAATCTATGAGACTGCCACTGCTCTGAACATGGCTGGAATTCCTTTTGTGAAAGTGAGTTCACTAATGAGGCAGGGAAGCTAAACCTACAGGCACTCCGCATTGGAAGGAAGCCTAGTATCACAACATGCAGAATCTTAGTGTGTGACAAATAGCTCTGTGTTCTAATTATGTCTTCTCCAGAATTACCATGTAGGTGATTTGGACAAGACATTTATAAACCACTTTTTGAAGCAAGATAATTCAAGTTATTTTCCGAGTAAGAAAAGTCCAATGCATACATCACACTAAAAGAGCAATTCATTTCACTGTTGACAATAAGTAACCCACGTTGATCCTACCAGACTGATTTCCAAATGATATCAAACCTACACTCAAAGAATAAAATTTTACCATTAAATGATATATAAAAGTGCCGACATTCTCACAGAAACACAAAATTATAAGTACCAAAAACATTTGGAGCAATTAGCAGTATGGCTCAACTAGGGATACAAGCTCTTAGATACATTTATATATACATTTAAGGACGGAAATTACAATGCACAAGTTTAAATGTCAGTAATATTTTACTAGAGCCAACAATGTGCCATTTTTTACTACTCAACAGAAACTCAATATTGTTAACAAAAATAACAGCCCCAAAATAACAAGCTAAATTGATTTCTTTGAAGAACGGACCAACTAATTGGGAGTACTAATGTTCTGGGTGACAAAGGGGTTAAGAATAACAGAAAAGGCCAGGCATGGTGGCTCACACCTATGATCTCAGCACTTCAGGAGGCCAAGGCAGGAGAATCGCTCGAGTCCAGGAGTTCCAGACCAGCCTGGACAACACAGTGAGACCCTGCCTCTCCAAAACATTTAAAAATCAGCCAGGTGTTGTGGTGCACACCTGTAACCCCAGCTACTAACATGGCTGAAGTGTGAAGATTGCTTGATCCAACAGTTTGGGAATGCAGTGAGCTATGATTGCACCACGGCACTCCAATATGAGCAAGAGAATAAGACCCTGTCTCTAAAAAATAAAAAATTTAAAGAAAAGAATAACAAAAACCATAAGGAGTAATAATCACCAACTACCACAGAGCCAACCAAAGAATAAAGAAACATTGTCTCATTTTGATTAACGGAAAGTTAATCTTTTGTGAACTCAAATTTGATTACTACCTTTGTATCACCTGTAAGGAAGGTCAAGGTCAATGATAGGGACTACCACTTTGCACACAAGCTCTTCCCTTGGAGAGGCCGGCCCATGCTCTCTTCAAGTGTATTCAGTGACAGTAGGTGAAGGTTTCCCTGACCACCTGATTCCAACTGCAAATCAACCTTCTTCTCCTTACTTCTCTCTCTTCCTCCCCTTTCTCTGCTCCTTCTCTGCTTAAACTTTCCCCATAGTTCCTCTACTATCTAACATGCTATATATTCAATTTCTTTATTATTTATCATTCCTGTCCTCATCAGAAAATTAGCTCCATGAGCAGAGTTTTATTTTTGCCCATTTTGTTCACTACTGTATTCACATCCCTAAAGTACAGCACACGCCCCACGAGAACGTGTTGAATGAATCAGTGAATGGAAGTGAACAGCTACCAGAAAACCCCAAACATAGCTGACATTTTCTTCATGTTTTCCAAATAAAAATATTTTTCTACTAAGATTATTCACTACAGCTTGTCTAAATCAACAAGAATTCTGAGTTAGGTTGTCTAAGAAACCATTAAAAACCAGCTGGCCGGGTATGGTGTCTCACTCCTGTAATCCTAGCACTTTAGGAGACTGAGGCAGGAGAATCACTTGAGCCCATGAGTTCAAGACCAGCCTGGGCAACAAGGTGAAACCCTGTCTCTACACAAAACACAAAAATTAGCTAGGCAAAGTGGGACATGCCTGTATTCCCAGCTATTCAGGAAGCTAAGGTGGGAGGATGACTTGAGCCTGGGTAGGTCAGGGCTGCAGTGAGCTGAGTTCATGCCACTGCACTCTAGCCTGGGCTAAAGAGTGGGACTGTTTAAAAAAAAAAAAAAAAAAAAAACAGCTTTCCAAAAGTAAAACTTAATTGTGCTTCATTGTTCTGCTGACTGTTTCTATGTATTTGTTCTGCTGTTTCTAGTTGTTTGTGAAGATGAACAAATAACTGCAAGGGTGGGTTGAAGACAAGCATATCCTGAAGCAGATGATAACAGAACCATGTTGTTCCCATTTGACTATTTCAAAAGAATCTGCTGGTTACCTGAGCTATAGAGGCCTGGGGATTACCCAGCAAGTTTTTGAATGAACGCTTGGAAACCCATCTGAGTTGATGACAGAAGGAGGTGGTATAGGTGGCCTCCTTGAAGACTGTGGTCTTCTTCTTCTTCTCACCCCTTGAGAGTTGATCTAATTCAGCTTTTGTCTCTTTGTAGAAGGAGGAGTTGACATAAATCTCGGCTAATTTTTCTATGAGTGGCTTATCCCGCTTGGAAGGCAGGATCTCCGTGGCTTTGCAATCAGTGGATAAAAAGGAAACATGAACAAGGTAACAACTAATTAAGCCCATTTTTCTGTGACCCTTTTCTTGGATTCTTCCCTAACACCTTCATTCTAAAGCTTTAGAAAGAAAAAATAGAAATAAATAATTATTAGCTCTGTCATTAGAAAAATATAACAGGCCAGGCACAGTGTCTCACTCCTGTAATCCCAGTATTTTGGAAGGCAAAGGCAGGAGGATCATGCGAGGCCCAGAATTCAAGACCAGCCTGAGCAACAAAATGAAACTCTGTCTCTGTAAAAATAAATAAAGTAATAAATTAAAAATAAATTTAAAAAGAGAAAAAGAAAAAAAGAACAGTGCACTAGCCTGTCTACTGCCACAGTCTTATGAATACAGCAAACCTACTGACATTTTCCTATTTGACCTTAATTATTTTAAAATAGACTTCTTATCATATAGTTCTAATTCTTAATATAAAATTATGGTTGTGGCCAGGTGCAGTGGCTCACGCCTGTAATCCCAGTACTTTGGAAGACTGAGTGGGGAGGATCACTTGAGGTCAAGAGTTCAAGACCAGCCTGGCCAACATGGTGAAACCCCGTCTCTACTGAATATACAAAAATTAACTGGGTGTGGTGGCGCAGGCCTGCAATTCTAGTTACATGGGAGGCTGAGGCAGGAGAATCACACTCCAGGAGGCAGAGGTTGCAGTGAGCTGAGATCATGCCATTGCACTCCAGCCTGGGTGACAAGAGCTAGACTCTGTCTCAAAAATGCAACAACAAAAAAATCTGTTCGTTGCTTCCTACTATATGCAAATGTATACATTGCCAAGTTTCTTATTTTAAAAACACTATATAAACAATTAGTGTTTTTTAAAATGGTAACTCCTCTTAGAACTGACAACACCATATAAATTCTCATTTATAAATTAAATCAAAACACCAACAGCACTCACACACAACAAAATATTTGTGTTGACTAGTATCAGAAGACTGCATTAATAGAAATTCACAAAGCTGCATTTTAATTAGCCACCACATTGCTAAACTTCAGCCAATTCGATTAGACAAAAATCTGGGACTATAACAGATTCATATACCTTTGAAGTCTTCTTCTCTGTTTAATACCACAGCAGTGGAATCTCCATTAATGACATCCAAGAAGAAGTCTGCAGGATTATTATAGGCCTCACAGTGATAACCTACGAAAGAAGGGAACCCAAAAACACAAACTTGATGGTCTTGGAAAATAAAGAGGGCTCACTTTCAGAGGGTGAGGGAGGTGAGGCTAGAGAAGACAGAATCTAACGACTGCTCCCTAACTTTGTTTCTCTCTTCTCCCCACACCAATTTTATCCTTTCTTTTTATATATTCAATCGCACAATTTTTTTTTTTGAGACAGGGTCTCCCTCTGTCACCCAGGCTGGAGTGCAATAACACTATCTTGGCTCACTGCTACCTCTGCCTTCCGAGTTCAAGTGATTTTCCTGCCTCAGCCTCCCAAGTAGCTAGGATTACAAGCATGCACCATGACACCCAGCTAATTTTTGTATTTTTAGTAGAGACAAGGTTTCACCATGTTGGCTAGGCTGGTCCCGGACTCCTGGCCCCAAGTGATCTACTAGTCTTGGCCTCCCAAAGTGCCGGGATTACAAGCATGAGCTTGTAATCTGTGCCTAGCCTATCTCACAATATTTCAACAATTCTTTGTCTCCTGGCTAAAAGAAAAGAAAACATTCCAAGCCAACCTTGGATTTGCAGGACATTTTACACTAGTGCTTGGTCCTTATCTATCGTAATTCATGAGACCTGAAATAGCTATTGGTATGCTCTGGTGCTTAACAGTACTTCCTCAAAAATCTAAATATAGGCCCAAGAAAAGAAATGCCAAAAGCCCAGGTGTGTTCTGCTGTCTGAGTTCACCTAGGGAATGCCAGAATGGTGGAATCCACATTAGCAATGATTGCTTCCCCACATACTAAATTCAGAGGTCCAGGGCCAGGTGCAGTAAAGTGGCTCACACCTGTAATCCCAGCACTTCAGAAGGCCAAGGCCAGTAAATCGCTTGAGCCCAGGAGTTCGAGACCAGCCTGGCCAACATGGCAAAACCCCAACTCTACTAAAAACACAAAAATTAGCCAGGTGCCTTGGCTTGTGACTACAATCCCAGCTACTAGGGAGGCTGAGGCACAAGAATCACTTGAACCTGGGAGGTGGAGGTTGCAGTGAGCTGAGAAAGCACCACTGCAAAAAAAAAAAGAAAGAAAGAAAGAAAGAAAGAAAGAAAGAAAGAAAGAAAGAAAGAAAGAAAGAAAGAAAGAAAGAAAGAAAAGAAAGCATCACTGCATTTCAGTCAGGGCGACAGAGTGAGACCCTACCTCAAAAGTTAATTAATTAATTAATTAATTCAGAAGTCCAAATTAACTGCTGTGCTGCTATAATTCCAAGCAGAGAACAAATCCCCCAAGCAGTATTCTCAAAAGAACATGGCCAGCACAGCACACCTGAACCAACCAGCTTCAGATGATGAGATCATCTGAACTCAGCACGACCTGAAGTCTGACTCTTAGTTCTTCCCCTTTATTAAAAACTAATTCAGAAACATGGCCAATGAATATCTAAAATTGTATTTAGAATCATTTATAATCATATCCAAATATCTCTCAAATGAAGCAGACTGCACAAGCCATTAAAAAAAAATCACACATTTCTATCTGAAATTTTAAAAATCACATATTTCAATTTGAAATAAAAAGAACCATGCAGCCCAGAATTGTTAGAAATTTTGGCCCATGTAAGTCAGATTTAGGACTAACCACTCTATTGACCAATAAGCCACCTCATACGCACTCAAGGGCTAAAGTTGCAATCTATAGTTGCCAGAAAATTAAATAGTGTCTGCCAGGCACGGTGGCTCACATCTGTAATCTCAGCACTTTGGGAGGCCAGGGCAGATTGCTTTAGCTCAGGACTTTGAAACCAGCCTGGGCAACATGGCAAGACCCTGTCTCTAAAAAAATACAAAAATCAGCTGGATATGGTGGTGTGTGTCTATAGTCCCAGGTGCTTGGGGGGCTGAATTGGGAGGATGGCTTGAGCCCCAGGGTTGAGGCTGCAGTGAGCCAAGATTGTGCCAGTGTACTCCAGGCTGGGTGACAAAGTGACATCTTGTCTCAAAATAAAAAAAGCCTTAAAATATAAAATTAAGCAGCATCTCCATGAGTGCTCATCAAGACAGACCAACATCGTGTGCAAGGAGAAAAATTATACGGCCTCATCTGTTATACAGTCAAGAAGACAATCATATTACGTCTTTCCAAATAATGTACAAGTGACAGAATAACTGGCTATAAGGCCAACATATTAATTATTAATTACTGAGCTTTTAAGAAATGCTCACTATAATGGGGAAGCAGAATATAGGCCCAGTAGAAATACTGATACACACCTGCAGGCACACTCAAATAAGACAAAAAAGAGACCTAAATAACAAGCTGGTGCTACACAATGAAGAAAAATACTAGCGCCAGATGGAACAGGTACATTTTGAAGTGATAGATTGTCTACCGAAAGACCAACAGCACTCCTGCAGACCCCCTTTGCTCTCCTTCAGGATTCTATTAATGGAGGGTCTTACAGTATGAAAACATCAACCATACCAGCTGATTCAAAGTATCCCAAGGCCTCCTGAGCAGGCCCATGGAACATAAGTCTTCCTGAGGCCAGTAAGGTGAGGCTATCAAACAACTTGAAGATGGAATATCGAGGCTGATGAATGGAGAAGATGATTGTTCGTCCCTGCTTAGACATCCTAAGTTAAAAGTGAGACAATAATGAGTCATTAAATATCTGAAACTTGTGCTTCTTGGTAAAATATTCCTGCCTTTAGATTGTTTGCTCCAAGTTTAACTTGACTTTCTCTTACCAACTTTTCATCTCATATTATTTACCTATAGTTAGGAAACCTAAATTCATTTTATTAAAACAGAAGAGGAATTTTCAAAGCATGTTGCATTGACAATCTAGAATCAACTAGAATGGTTATTAATAATGCAGATTCCACGACAGTCTTCCCAGACATTGAATTAGAATCTCTGGGAGGGGGTCTATGAAATCCATTTTTTTTTTTTTTTTAGATACAGAGTCTCACTCTGTTGCTCAGGCTGAAGTGCAGTAGCACAATCTTGGCTCACTGCAACCTGCACCTCCTGAGTTCAAGCAATTCTCCTGCCTCAGCCTCCGAAGTAGCTGTGACTACAGGCACGTGCCACCACGCGCAGCTAATTTTTTGTATTTTTAATAGAGATGGGGTTTCACCATATTGCCAGGATGGTCTCAACCTCCTGAAACCTTGGGATCTGCCCGCCTCAGCCTCCCAAAGTGCTGGGATTACAGGAGTGAGACACCACACCCAGCCAGGAATCCACATTTTTAAGAAGCAACCCAGATAATCTGTAAGCATGTTCAAGTTTGAAAACTAGTTATGACTACATGTTAAAACAATGGTCATTTATCCCATTCTGACTTATCATTTAGGTCTTCTGGCTGTTTAGAAATTGATTTCAACTCTTCTGCTCTAATATTGCAATTAACATTACTAAGTACTTACTATGTCTTTCAAAAATACTTTAGGGATAACTTCATTTCAATTTTCACAATACTGTTGTGAGGCAGTTCCACTATTATTATTACCCTCATTTTACAAATATGTCTTAAAGGATCAAGCAACTGGCCTAGGGATCACAGTTAGTAAGGGGCAAGGCTGGGATTTAATCTCTGGTCTAATTTCATGGCCAAAATAGTGCTGAAGTACCTTTCCACAGGAGTTATGACTTACAGGTTGATATGGTTTGGCTGTGTGCCCACCCAAATCTCATCTTCAATTGTAATAATTCCCACATGTCAAGGGTGGGGCCAGGTGGAGATAATTGAATCATGGGGGCAGTTCCATATACTATTTGCTGGTAGTGAAAAAGTTTCACTAAATCTGATAGTTTTATAAATGGGAGTTCCCCTGAACAAGCTCTCCTGCCTCCTGCCATGTACAACATGGCTTTGCTTCTTGTTTGCCTTACGCCATAATTGTGAGGTCTCCTCAGCCACATGGAACTGTGAGTCCATGAAACCTCTTTCCTTATAACTAACCCAGTGTCAGGTATGTCTTTATTAGCAGTGTGAGAATAGACTAATACAGTAAATTGGCACTGCTGCTGCAAGATACCCAAAAATCTGGAAGCCACTTTGAAACTGGGTAACAGGCAGAGGTTGGAACAGTTTGGAGGGCTCAAAAGAAGACAGGAATATGTGGGAAAGTCTGAAACTTCCTGGAGACTTACTGAATGGCTTTAACCAAAATGTTGATAGTGATATGGACAATGAAATCCAGGTTGAGGTGGTCTCAGATGGAGATGAGGCACTTGTTGGGAACTGGAATAAAGGTGACTCTTGCTATGTTTTAGCAAAGAGGCTGGTGGCATTTTTCCCCTGCCCTAGAGATTTGTGGTACTAAGAACTTGAGAGAAATGATTTAGGGCATCTGGCAGAAGAAATTTCTAAGCAACAAAGCATTCAAGATGTGAGTTGGGTGCTGTTAAAAATATTCAGTTTTATTCATTCACAAAGAAATGGTTTGAAATTGTAACTTATGTTTAAAAATGAAGCAGAGCAAAAAACTTCAGAAAACTTGCAGCCTTATGATGCAATAGAAAAGAAAAACCCATTTTCTGAGGAGAAATTCAAGCCTGCTACAGAAATTTGCATAAGTAATAGGGAGCCAAATGTTAATCACCAAGACAATGGGGGAAATGTCTCCAAAGCATGACACAGGTCTTCAAAGCAGCCCCTCCCATCGCAGGCCCAGAGGTCTAGGGGAAAAAAATGGTTTCCTGGGCCAGGCCCAGGGCCTTGCTGCTTTGTGCGGTCTCGGGACTTGGTGCTCAATGCCCCAGCCACGGTTAAAGGGGACCAACAGAGAGTTCAGGCCATTGTTTCACAGGGTGCAAGCCCCAAGCCTTGGCAGCTTCCATGAGGTATTAGGCCTGCCCTTCACCTAGACTTCAGAGGATGTATGGAAATGCCTGGATCTCCAGGCAGAAGTCTATTTCAGGTGTGGAGCCCTCAGGGAGAATCTCTGCTAGGGCAGTGCAGACAGTAAATGTGGGGTGGGAACCCCCACACAGGGTCCCCACTGGGGCACTGCCTAGTGGAGTGGTAAGAAGAGGGCCACCATCCTTCAGACTCCAGAATCCACCAACAGCTTGTACTGTGCGCCTGAAAAAGCCACAGACACTTAGTGCCAGCTTGTGAAAGCAGCCAGGCAAGGGGCTGTACCCCACAAAGCCACAGGCTGGAGCTGCCCAAGGCCCTGGGAGCCTACCTCTTGCATCAGCATGACTTGTATGTGAGATATGGAGTCAAAGGAGACAACTTCAGAGCTTTAAGATTTGACTGCCCCTTTGGATTTCTGACTTGCATGGAGCCTGTAGCCCCTTCATTCTGGCCAATTTCTCCCATTTGGTACAGGCGTATTTACCCAATGCCTGTGCTCCTATTGTATCTAGGAAGTTATTAACTTGCTTTTGATTTTACAGGCTCAAAGGTGTAAGGAACTTGCCTTGTTTCCGATGAGACTTTAGACTGTGAACTTTTGAGTTAATGCTGAAATGAGTTAAGACTTTGGGGGACTGTTGAGAAGGCATGATTGGTTTTGAAATGTCAGGGCATGAGATTTGGGAGGAACCAGGGGTGCAATCATATGTATCCCCAACCAAATCTCACCTTGAATTGTAATAATATTTGTAATAATTATAATAACAATATACAGGTAGAAGGAAAAAAAGGCCAAAATCACTGTTTAAAACAGTTACTATTCAAAATATTTTATGAGAAGAGTCACTTAAATTTCTTTTTTTTTTTTTGAGACAGAGTCTTGCTCTGTCACCAGGCTGGAGTGTAGTGGTGCAATATTGGCTCACTGCAATCTCCGCCTCCCAGCTTCAAGTGATTTTCCTGCCTCAGCCTTCTGAGTAGCTGGGACTACAGGCATGAACTACCACACTCAGCTAATTTTTATATTTTTAGTAGAGACAGAGTTTTGCCATGTTGGTCAGGATGGTCTCAATCTCTTGACCTCGTGATCCACCCATCTTGGCCTCCCAAAGTGCTGGGATTACAGGCATGAGCCACCACACCTGGCCTAGAAGAGTCACTTCAATTTTAACATTTTCTAAGAACCTACTGTATACTAGCAGTGTATACAAGGACATTCTGCCTCAAAGATCAGATCAGGCTAGTAGGTCAACAATTTCAGTACAATATGAAACAGAAGAAGCTAAGGATTCCTCGTAAGCAAATAGGAGACTCACAACCCAGTCTGAAGATTATATAAATAGAGTTAAAAAGGCCCAACAGGAGTAAGCTAAGAAGAAAAAAAAAGCACTCAAGGTGGAAGAATAAGATGAACAAAGTGTGAAACAAAAAAGTCTACTCTGAAAACTACAACATGTTCAGTATCATACAGAAGAAAGAGAGAAAAAGAGTGTGTGTGTGTGTGTGTGTGTGTGTGTGTGTGTGTGTGTATGTATTTGTTGGTGTTGAGTAAAGAAGCTAAAGAGGCAGTGGCAAAATAGGCCCAGCACCCCCATCCTTACCATGGCCATCCTTCCCTATACTCTTACCTGCTTTCATTTTCTTGATAACACTTTTCACATTTGTTAATTGACTTTGCCTCCAACAGAAGAGGAAGAAATTGTTTTGATCTTTTCTGAATCCCCTGCACCAAGAAATACCTGGGATATAGTAGTGATGAGATATTAACTAAGGAATAATATTCCCATAGCATTTACCTTTTCAGGAGCAAAAGGACAGCATTTGCTGTGCTCGCGTCTAAGCCAGTTGTGGGCTCATCCAAGAACAAGATGGAAGGATCAGTAATAAGCTCCATTCCAATACTAGTCCTTTTCCTCTCTCCTCCAGACACACCACGGATAAACTGAGTTCCAACCTAAATCACAAATATTATCATTGTCAATGATAACAAGCAGTCACTATAGTTTGGTGAGCTACTAACATGTGTCAGTCCTGTAAGAAACACTTTATCTCATTAAGCTCCTTTACTCTGAACAGCAAATAAGTGGATACCTGGAAGAAAAAGTAGATTTCTCTTTTATCAGATGAGTAAACTTAGGCTCGGGTCAGAGGTGGTCAGTAACTAAGCCTATTATAAAGCACCTGCTTGGGTGGGGCGTCGCCTCACCTGGGAAGCACAAGGGGTGGGGGAACTCCCTTCTCTAGCCAAGGGAAGCTGTGAGAGACTGTGCCATGACAAACAATGCATTCTGGCTCAGATACTATGCTTTCCCCGTGGTCTTCACAACCCGCAGACCAGAAGATTCCCTCAGGTGCCTACACTACCAGGGCCCTGGGTTTCAAGCATAAAACTGGGCAGCTGTTTGGGCAGACACTGAGCTAGCTGTGGCAGTATTTTTCATACCCCAGTGGTACCTGGAACATCAGTGAGACAGGACTGCTCACTCCCCTGGAAAGGTGGCTGAAGTCAGGGAACAAAGTGGTCTAGCCTAGCTCAGAGAATCCCATTCCCATGGAGCCCAACAAGCTAAGATCCACTGGCTTGAAATTGTCTCTGCCAGCACAGCAGTCTGAAGTTGACCTGGAATGCTCAAGCTTGGTGGGGAAAGGGGTGTCCACCACGACTGAGATTTGAGTAGGCAGTTTTTTCCTCACTGTGTAAAGCCACCAGGAAGTTCGAACTGGGCAGAGCCCACCACAGTTCAGCAAAGCTGCTATAGCCATACTGCCTCTCTAGATTCCTCCTCTCTGGGCAAGGCATCTCTGAAAGAAAGGCAGCAGCCCCAATCAGGAGCTTATAGATAAAACTCCCTTCTCTCTGGGACAAAGCACTTGGGGGAAGGGGTGGCTGGGAACACAGCTTCAGCAGATTTAAACGTTCCTGCCTGCTGGCTCTGAAGAGAGCAGTGGATCTCCCACCACAATACTCAAGCTCTGATAGGGGACAGACTGCCTCCTCAAGTGGATCCCTGGCCACCATGCCTCCTGACTGGGAGACACCTCCCTGGAGGGGTCTACAGACACCTCACACAGGAGAACTCTGGCTAGCATCTGGTGGGTACCCATCTGGGACAAAGCTTCCAGAGGAAGAAACAGGCAGCAATCTCTGCTGTTCTGCAGCCTCTGCTGGTGATACCCAGGCAAACAGGGTCTGGAGTGGACCTCCAACAAACACAGACCTGCAGCAGAGGGGCCTATTACAAGGAGAACTAACAAGAAAAGAATAGCATCAACATCAAAAAAAAGACGTCCACAGACAGAAACCCCATCCGAAGGTCACAAACATCAAAGACCAAAGGTAGACAAATCCACAAAGATGAGGAATAATCAGCATTAAAAGGCTGCAAATTCCAAAAACCAGAACTTCTTTACTCCTCCTCCAAAGGATCACAACTCCTCCCCAGCAACGGAACAAAACTGGAATGAGAATGAGTTTGACAAACTGACAGAAGTAGGCTTCAGAAGGTGGGTAATAACAAACTCCTCTGAACTAAACAAGCATGTTCCAACCCAATGCAAGGAAGCTAAGAACATTGAAAATCGGTTAGAGTAATTGCTAACTAGAATAACCAGTTTAGAGAAGAACATAAATAACCTAATGGAGGTAAAACACACAGCATGAGAACATTGTGAAGCATACATAAGTATCAATAGCGAAACTGAT